TTGTCCAATAAAACATCTGTGATATTTCTGTCATCTCAGTTTGTGTTGAGGTCTCATAGAATTGCTAATTCCAAATGATCATGCAACTTTTCAAGGCATATTTATACTCCTTTGGAAGCATGTAGAAGCCTCTCATTGGAAATCTTAGGGAATCTCCTTGGAGATCTTAGGAAACTGTTGTGTAAATCACATCATATGGCATCCAAGTCAACCAAGTAATGGATTCTGGTCTGCCTGGGACTTGATTAATCTTGTACTGTTGCTTCCTGCTGTGGATTGTACAAAAAAGAGAGTTTTCAAGTATTCCATAAGCCACAATACATGGACACCAAGTTGTGTTTTCCTTGGTGGCTCACCAGCTATAGGGGGCTATCCTAAGATCTTGTGTAAACCAAACCTCTTCTTTAGTCCATTGTTATGCTAGTCTGTGACTGTAATAAAGATTTGATTGATTAGTCCTTTGCTTTAGTGAGTGGCAGTAATTATGAGAACTATGATAAAATCACACTGCATATTAACATCAACCTAGCATGTCAATAGGGGACGCGGGTGGCACTGTGGGTAAAAGCCTCAGCGCCTAGGGCTTGCCGATCGAAAGGTCGGCGGTTCGAATCCCCGCGGCGGGGTGCGCGCACGTTGTTCGGTCCCAGCGCCTGCCAACCTAGCAGTTCGAAAGCACCCCCCAGGTGCAAGTAGATAAATAGGGACCGCTTACTAGCGGGAAGGTAAACGGCATTTCCGTGTGTGGCTCTGGCTCGTCAGAGCAGCGATGTCACGCTGGCCACGTGACCCGAGTGTCTTTGGACAGGCTGGGACTTTGAGTGAGGGGAACCGGCTGTTACAACCAAAGTGGTGAAGTTTAAGGGAAGAACCCCTAAGGAAAAGCACTTTCACAGAAATCTTTTAGTTTTCAAATTTCAGCCAAGCTCCCAGGCACCTTTCCACTTGGTTCATTTGGCTGAGAAGGTGAAGGCTGGCAGCAGGCTAAGGTTTACATTTCCCCAAATGTCAACCTTATATAACGTGTCATATTATTGGCCAAGTTTCAGGGTTGTACTTGAGAATTAGATCTCCTGAGCTCCTTGTACTTCAAAGGACAATTTTATTGTGATGATTATCATTTTAAGAGTGTCGTTAGAATAAATACTTGGGGCAGATACTTGCCCTTCTAGTGTATGTTCTGTTGGAAGCAAATGATAATGGAAAATGTCATGAATGAATTCACATAATCTTGACCAGGTACCAGGGATTGTTCAGAAGACCCAGTTCTCTCTTTGTTGAGCCACTCAGTGGAATTGCAATGGGAAGAAACATGCACTGTAAATATATATAAGAATATATGCAATAATCTTGCAAAGCAGGCATGGAATGGAAGCAACAGACAACAGGCTTAAATTCCTTGCGCGAGATGCTATTAGACTAAGTCTTTGAGGTTCCTTGCAATATGGAAAGCTTTGTACATCCTGATAAAAGGACTACTCCTTTATAATGGAACTCACAATCTGATTTCTATATTAAAAGGAAGTTGGCAATTAGTCTGTGGCTGGATATAAAGAATAATAAGAGACTAAAAAGGTAACAAAAAAAATTAGGCAGGTTTGAAAGAAATCAAAAGCGCTGAAAGAAAACCCCAGACTTGAAACATTTCTGTGTAACTGCTGAAAGCATGAAAGAGCTTTCAGCTTGTCAGATGCATGTTTGATGGAGCTGGGATTTCAAACATCTACTGCATTTTTATATTCGAGAACAATGCTCCTTTTTATTATTTAGCTAAGGAAAAAGCACTTGTTTCATTTATTTTGCCTGTTAGTAGTGCAATTCTTTGAACAGCCAACCTATTTCTACCAGCTACATCTTGTCTCTGTACTGCTGTTTTGTGTGTGTGTGTGTGTGTGCGCGCGCGCGCGCGTGCAAAAGATTGTTATATTTGTACATTAATTTAGCACTATAGCTTGGTGTTCATAGGATGGGATTGCAGTATCACTCTCAATTATGAAGTCCACTCCCCTCCTCCTTTTAAAAAGAAATACATCAAGATTTGTTCTCTCTCTTTGGTATAGTTCAGCCAGTGGCCTTCATATAATAATGGTCACACTTTGCACTGAATGTGGCTCAGATAGTTAATGTGATCCCTTTGAATAGCCGGACCGGCATGGTGGATTTCTACCAGCTGTGTCGTGCCTCTGATCTGCAAAAAAATGAAGAAGAAGAAAACGCTTCTTATTAGAAAAATGTGATTATATTTGTACATTAATTTAGCACATTAGATTTATATTTGGTGATATAACAGAGGTGATTGTAGGATGGGATTGCAGTATCACTCTCAGTTACAAAGCCCACCCACATTTCCCCCTCCTCTAATAAGAAATAAATCAAGATTTGTCCTCTCTCTTTAGTATAGTTCAGCCAGTGGCATTCATGTAATAGTGGTCACACATTGCACTGAATCGTCCTGCAGGTGCTAGAATTATCAGCTGACCTTGCTCTACTTCTTTAAGCCTGCATGTGAGCATTGATTAAACGAACGATAAGGTCTGTGATAGATCGATTTTTTTCCACATTTTTAATTTAGGAGGTAAAACATTCTATCACTGCCGAGACTGAAAATTATGGCTGAGATAATAGAGGTCTGACTCCAGTTGAAGTTAAAAAGGAAAAAGTTGCCCCTCAAATGTCAAGGCACCTCGTGGTCCAAGATGATTAAAACTAAACTGTTTGCAATATGAATCCCAAGGTGCTGCTATATCTCAGCTGCCATGACATTTCGCCTGTGACTTTTCATAGCTTGTTAATAATGTATAGCCACCCCAATATAAATTTCCAGTGACAGAACTGGCCTGTTAGAGTGGAGTAGTTAACAAGATTTATTCTGCACAGAAAATGCAGATTTGAATGGGGAGGAAATCAGGACGAATGTCAAAAGAACTTTTCACTGGGCTATCTTATTTCACGGGAACTCGGAAGCGACGTCTTTCATTTTGATTTGTTACTCTCTTCGGAGCCCTAATTATTAGAGGGAGAAAAAATATTCTTCCAACCATTTTCTTACTCTTGAGGATTAAGATGCATTCAGACAAATTGGAATCCCAAGCAAACGTAGTAATAGGTCCCTGCCCATTTATCTAGACAGAACGTGCTTAGCAAACAGGTAAACGTTTTGGTGCAGGTATGGTCTCAGTAACTTCAATTGCTGTTAATTGCGCCTGAATAACCTCAGCAAACTCCCGCGTTTGAGGAAGAGTGTTTCTGAGATGGTAGCCTTCAACCTGGCAGTTATACAAATTATTCATAAGCTGTGAAATGTCACCAGAGAGATGAAAGGAGATGAGAAAAGGGTACAGGTGAGAAACAGAGACAAAGAACAATGGGCTACAGCAGGATATGGATTAGAATTGGATCGGGGGGAGATAGTTTGACATTTGGAGAGTCGCAGGCCCAATATAAGACTGAAGGGAGTTGTTCAACCAGAAGACAGGTAAGCTTTGTCGATAACCTCTGGATATATGAACATATGAAGCTGCCCTACAGCTGGGGAAGAGACTCTTTGCTTTCATTCTCAGCCTGATTTGGGGAGCAAATAACGGCTGTGGCCATAAGATCTATAGCTTTCAGGTTGGTGTTTTATCAGTAGAGATGCAAACTTATGTTATAAGCACATTGTTGACTAAAAAAGACTTTGGAAATAAACTTAAAATCTGTCGCCGTGTTCCCTGTTAAATCTGCTGTTTTGTGGGTTTTCTTCAAAGATGCCTGTACTTTGAATCACCGACCTTCTTAAACTGCCGTTTTACTCTGGCAGGAGTGTTCTTGCTATAGTACATGCTAAGGTCAATTAAATGCACACTTGCATTCCTTTCATTTTTTAATGATCATTCTAAACTCACTGGCAGTGCAACTGTTAGAGCGGCAATTTCATCTGACAGTGTTCCAAAGCAAATATACTCGGAAGCTGAATACCTACCTACCTCTTATATTGGACACCAGGCACTGCCCTTTAAAATCTCCCACTGAAGTGGGAGATAAAGCTGCTGTGAGTGTACCTGGATTTGCTGAAAAAAGAAAGATAAGAGGGATTCTTATGGCATCTCACTGCAAATAAATGGATGGTTTTTCCAAGTTTCATATAAATATTAAACACTGTGAGTTGGACAGTGCAATCTGGTGAGCCCCACACAGCACATCTCCTGGGAAGAATCAGAAGCTATGGAATTTCTGGCAGGGGCAGCCCAATCCCATTTTGCCATCTGAGGTGAAATAGGAAGGTGCTGCCCTGCTGTTGCCAAAGCCCTTCCCCCCCCCCAAGCCTCCTTTACCTGGATCATTCTGCAGCACCCACAAAACAGCAATGGTGGACTACAACAAGATACCATGAGATCTCAGTGGGCAGGGTTCCTGTGAAGGTGCCTCCTCTTGGGGTTCTGCCGCCTGAGGAAGCTGCATCTGCCTGCCTCCTGTGTGGGTCACCTGACCAAGATCTCTGCCTACTGAGCATACCCCATCTCATCTCACGGAAGTGGAACCATCACAAAGTAATGCCCTGAATCCATCAAGACATCCCAGAAGAACTTGATGCCTGAAAACATGGAAAGCGGTTGAGAAGTCCCACAAAATCAATAGTCCAGCAAAAAAATCCATCAACCCCCAGGTTACAATAATTTGTGTAGGTCGTCAGATTGTTTTCTGCCACAATGTTGTGTTGTAAAGTAGACTGAAATGGCTCTTAAAAGCAAGTGTCATGTGGCCATGAAAGGGGAAGATGTTCTACAGTGCAACTTGGCAGCCCATAAGAGTGGTTTCTGGGCCAAGGTTGGTCCTCTCTAAGATGAACAATGTGAATGTACAAATAACATAATAGGTGGTGGTTATCTAACAAAAAGTAGTCTAAACTAAGATTGAATGTGTCAAAAATATATAAATAAAATATTTATTCAAGAAAAAAACCCAACTGTACTATACTGCACTATGTTTATATTGTACTATGGAATTTATCAAATCTTTAGATGCCTGGATGGATTCTCTGGTCAGTTTTGTGAAGCAGACATTAATGAGTGCATCTCATCACCATGCCAGCATGGCGCCGTCTGTGAAGACCTTATTAATGGATACTTCTGCAGATGTCAGGAAGGTAACCACTGAAATGATATTTTGAATTAAAGCATTTTCCGTGTCATAAAGGATTTAACTCCTGAAGGACTTTTGAATGCAAAGAACATTCTTTTTTTACATACCAAGATAAAGCAGCACATACTGGAAATTAAGCTCTGGAGCTAATGCTTTTCTGTAAACAGAAAGTAATGCATGCAGAAACTCCGATTGTCTTGCTTCCAGAGTGATTCTGAGGTGCAAATTGATGTAACCTCTTGATCAAAATAGACACTTTTCAAGGGAAGCCACTGAATGCACTTAAAATATTGTCTGAAGTCCAAAGGTAGAACGGGGTGTTATAATTTGCATTTTAAAGTGGTTAATTGTTCCATGGTTTAAACAGAATGATTAAATATTACTGTGAAAGAAAATGGTGGAACAAATTGTTTGCACTTTGAGTTAAGACAGTTCTTGGAATTGGACACATCTAATGGGATCGTTTCAGACAGTCTTCTGGCCCTCAAACATATCATCAGGTGGGGGGGGGAGTAGTGGCTTTCTGAAAATAAATGCAACTAAATAAACATGTGCCTTAAGATTAATACCCTTGTTTAGAACATCCCTGGTGTCATGTGCTTCCTCTCTCCCTTTACTTCCTTGTGCCTTCAGCTTGGCTGGATTGCAAATAACTGCACAATTAGTTCTGCCAATTCAAAGGGCTTCTGAACCGCTGTAAGGCAAGCAACTTACAAAACTGAGGGGGGCTTTCAATAGCATATTGAAATAGCACAAGGGACCTGCCGATCAAAAGCCATGTCTAAGGCAGCTTGTTGGATTCTGGCCTTCCATGGCCGTATGCCTATTGGCAGCAATTGACCCTTATTTATGCAGCACACTTGGGATGTGAGGAATCTGTAACCAGGTATGTCAGGGGGTGCCAACTTGAATAAAATATTGGGGGGAGGACAGGTAAACCCTTACCCCACATAATCGATCACCTGGTGCAGTGCACACACACCAGTTGAATGGAACTGCCCCTATGAGTCAACTCCTTTGAGATATGCCAACATTTTCATTTTCAACTTAAAGCAGGCACTGGGGGGTTGTAGCAGCTTTAGAGATTGAGATTGGACATATAGCATTGAGGGGAAGGGATCCAGTTTCCTCAGAGTCACTGCTCTGTTCAAAATGGGAGCTTCCAGTGGCTGCTTTAGAAATGACAGGGTTGATAGTTTGCCTCCCTGTTGCTAGATGCTTAATGGGCACCACTGAGCCAGCATTAAGCACTTGGAAAGATTAAGAGAGAGATTTAGACACATATGATTAACACTCTTCCATTGAAATCAGTTAGATGGGGGTGTATGTGTATTATATAAATATATCTCACATATTGCATGTATGCATGGATGGTGGCTAACAGATTGAGGTTGAATCCTGACAAGACAGAAGTACTGTTTTGGGGGGACAGGGGGCGGGTGGGTGTGGGGGATTCCCTGGTCCTGAATGGGGTAACTGTGCCCCTGAAGGACCAGGTGCGCAGCCTGGGAGTCATTTTGGACTCACAGCTGTCCATGGAGGCACAGGTTAATTCTGTGTCCAGGGCAGCTGTCTACCAGCTCCACCTGGTACGCAGGCTAAGACCCTACCTGCCCGCGGACTGTCTTGCCAGAGTGGTGCATGCTCTAGTTATCTCCTGCTTGGACTACTGCAACGCGCTCTACGTGGGGCTACCTTTGAAGGTGACCCGGAAACTGCAATTAATCCAGAATGCGGCAGCTAGACTGGTGACTGGGAGTGGCCGCCGGGACCACATAACACCGGTTCTGAGAGATCTGCATTGGCTCCCAGTACATTTCTGAGCACAATTCAAAGTGTTGGTGCTGACCTTTAAAGCCCTAAATGGCCTCGGTCCAATATACCTGAAGGAGCGTCTCCACCCCCATCGTTAAGCCCGGACACTGAGATCCAGAGCCGAGGGCCTTCTGGCGGTTCCCTCATTGCGAGAAGTAAGGTTACAGGGAACCAGGCAGAGGGCCTTCTCGGTAGTGGCGCCTGCCCTGTGGAATGCCCTCCCAGCAGATGTCAAAGCAATATTAACAACTATTTTACTTTTAAAAGTCATCTGAAGGCAGCCCTCTTTAGGGAAGTTTTTAATGTTTGATGCTGTACTGTTTTTAATATTCAGTTGGAAGCCGCCCAGAGTGGCTGGGGAAACCCAGCCAGATGGGCGGGGTATAAATAATAAATTATTATTATTATATATTATTATATTTGAGACGCATGCTATAGTATTTTTTTTTCCTATCTTGGCTTTCTGTTCTTAGGGAAACATGCATTTTTAATTGTTTTTTTAGGACTGCATACAGTCCTAAAAATACAGCAAACAAGAGTTTTTTGTAGGACGTTACTGGTGCTGTTTAGGTTCCGCATGAACAGGAAACCTCCCCACATGTAGTCAGCATAAAGCTACACATGCCGGCCCTAGCCCCCTCCACACACATCTTCCTCACTGCCCTCCGTCCCGCCTCCCCAGTCCTTGACCTTCCTGTGTTGAGCAGAGGTCTGAAGTTTTTGTTTTGTTTGCTCACATTCACTTGAATACCAGCAGAATCCTCTGCGTTGACCAGGGATACCTGTAACTTTGGGTTCTCTGTCAGATGGGGCAGAAGGCAAATGTGGGTACAAGCTCTCTTCACTTCTCCCTGCTCAGCACAGGACCAAGCAGGCATGGTGATGCACACTAGGGAACTGGAAAATAGGGACACTTGGTCCGTGTTTTATTTTTTACTATTTTGTTTGAATGGGGCAGGGGAGACATATCAAGAGATTTGGATGTGTACACAGAGAGAGAGAGACTTTTAACATGGTTTTTACAATAGCAAAGGTCAATGAGATACACTTTTTTCATTCTAACAGGCTGGGAAGGCTTCCGTTGTGAAGAGGATATCAATGAATGTGCATCAAATCCCTGCATGCATGGGATTTGCATCGAGAATGAACCAGGCTTTGGCTACACCTGTTACTGCAAACCTGGATTTGTGGTATGCTATTGAAAATCTTGCTAGATGTGTTATGATCGCACATACCCACAGTCCTCTCTGTGCATGGAAAACTAAGTATCAGGGAAGGGGGATTTTGCCTGCTTCTCCTTCTTGTGTTGCTCTGTTTGAGTCCTCATCTGTTGTCTGAAGTGGTGCAGTCACACAGGTGTCCACCTCTTTATCTATTATTTCTGGGAAGATGCTGAATGTTTCCCTGGCAGGGGTATATCTGGATTCTTCCATGAAGTTTGTCAAAGTTAAATTTGGAGTTTTAGGCTTATATAATCCCCAATTGAAAATTACCTTTGTGCTATAAACTGGCTGTAACAGCACCAGTCAAGTGTCTAGTGCTGCTTAGGTTTGCTGAGTCACTCTTGAGCTGTGACACACGCACACCCTGACACCACAACTCTATGGCTGTGTTGTTTTTTTAAAAAAAGCAACTGTAGAAGCTTCCATAATCCAATCAAGTTGCAGAATATTCTGTTTCCTAAGGGTGCTCTGTTTAAATCCACCCTTCCCATTTCATTAACCTTTTTTACACTTGAGCCAGGAATTGTGTCCATGTATACAAACCTGTTTCTTTGCCATAGTGATTTTATCCTGCCTGTTCTACTCGCACCAGATCTTATCCTGTTACCTTGTGCAGATTGCTCTTGCTGAATTTGGATTTCTAGCTAATAATGCACAACAAATTTCCTGTTCAGTAGATATGCATTATTTATTTGTCAGCTTTACAATAAATCTCCCAAGATATGCAAGCAGTTATTCAGATGAATCCCATTCTTTTCCTACTGTTGCGGGTGTGGGGGGAGAGACACGGATAGGGAAGAAACTGCTGTTTGAAGAAGAAAAAAATGCTTAAGATCAAAGTGATTTACGTATGTGGTTTATTTAGTATCACTCCCCAATAGTTTAATTATATAATACATCAATTTGAAATCTCAAAGAGCTGAACAACTGCATTATTTCATCTCTGTCAACACACAACTTGGACTTTTTTAATAGAAAAAGATGCTTTGGATAAATAAAAACAAAAGGAAGGGCCAGCTGGAATTATTTTGCCTGATAGTTCTCATTTGAAGCTTCAGACTGGGGCTTTCAGGGGACATTAGCCACTTATTTTTGAGAAAAGATAAGCAAGGAGAAGGGGAACTTTTACAGAGCAGGATATTCATGTTGGCACAAGGTTTTCTGGACCAAACACTATATCATCGGACATGTGGGCTATGTGGGTGGAATCCAATTGTTCCATTCCATGAGTAGAAGGACTTTTAACCCAGCAAATCCCTCCACTAGTGGATGGAGGGGAAAAGATACTTATCTGTTCCTGCTCCCCCATGCATTCCCTTTCTGACCCTTCCAGACAATCTGATCTGGATGGTTGAGGAACCCTCTGAAAGGTGGCACAAACCTGCATGGAGAAGGAGAAATCTGAATATCCCCTCCCTTCCTCTTCCATTATTGGACGCCTTCACTAGTTCAAAGACTCTTCCACAAATGGAAGGAGTCTTTCTATTTGCATAAAGGCACAACTGAGCAGAAGCACACAAACACACATACCTTGAACACAGAGAGAAGAAAAGGCCAAACAGGCCTAGTGCTAACTGTGTGTCAAGACCAAGATGCAAGGTAGGAATTGACAAAAAAAATAAATCTGTGTGCACAATGTTGATATTGAGATTTTCAGAAAATTCCATCCCTAGCCATGATAGTATTTGCAATTGTGACTAGTGCTGTGACTAGTAGGCAGGCTTTGCAAAGAGTGCATACTCAGTGGAAAGAAAGAAAAGATTGGCATGCCATAGCAAACGCCATCCTGTGGCTCCTTAGACAGGCAACACATTTCTTGATTCCCCAAGAGCTAATTCCATTTCACTGTATTGCAACCTGCTTTGTAAGGTTGTGGCATCCTCATGCTGCACAAATCAAGTTAAAGTGTGGAATAAACTGTGTACTTTTCAGACAGTACAACATAAAGTAATTATAGCATCAGAACATATTTTTTGTTTACACCCTTGTATATCACTTTGGTTCAATCTCCGAGAAGCATATTGTTAACTTTAAAAGGCAGACAACTTGGGAACAAAACTGTTTTAGGATATAGAATGTGATAGGGACTGTGAGATGGAATCTTTATTTTAATACCGGTAGTTTGCTCTTTGAACTGATTGGAAGTCAAAATGCCATAATTAAATTGCAATTGAAAAGCCTGGGTCTCTGTCATGAAATCAATAAAGGGAAAAATCTCAGTGGGCTTAAATTAATTTTGGGAAGTGCAGTCTGCCCAGCTGAAATAAGACAGTATCTCTTTCTTTTCTTTTTGGGTGGGGGGGGGAGAGGCGGAATCAAAAGAAAGCAATAATTTGAACCATTTAATGTGACAAGGAAATGGAAATGGCCTTCATAATGACTTTTTAAAAACTTCTCCTCTAGGGCCGAAGCTGTGAGCTTAATTACGACGATTGCTTAATACGTACCTGCCCTGCTGGGTTTCTCTGTGTGGATGGAATAAACAATATCACCTGTTTACCTGCAGTCCCCCAAAGGGGACAAACCATCATAAAAATGGAAGGAGTGCCCCCTAGTGAGCCATTACAGAGAGGCCTCGCATCAGCCCATCCAAGCCTCTCGCCTTCTGACCTTTATATTTTTCAAACTTCCACAGGTAAGAAAGTACAAGTATTATGAATGAAAAACTGAGAGGTTCTAAATGAAACCCTGCCCTTTCAGTGTGTGCAGTTTTAAATTATTTTTATAAGGATTAATGTCTTCTGTATTCTGTGTTCTCGTCTGTATTCTTTCAGGGTCCCCCTCCCCAAACTCTGAATTCTGCTCTCTTTAACTAAGCACCTGTCTTGTCTCTGTCAATTTGAATGCCATTCTTTGTTTATTAGAACTCCTGGTGGACTGAGTGCAAAAGCACTGCGGGACAATATCCCCCTCTCCACTCCAGCTGTTGGCTAACTGTATAGAGAATTGCATTTTTTCCATAACTTGTTTAGCTTTTCATTTGAGCTTGGCTAATATGTGTGACTTCGTATGCTCCCTAATACATCTCTGCCCCCTCTGTTAGTGCAATCCTCTTCAGACTGGAAGGCAGATGACGCCGCTTTGAGAAACTCGCCTTTCCTTTCCCTTGCACGTATCTTTCTTGTGTGCATCTTTTCCCAACCTCTTGATGTTTTCATACATAAGAATGCCTGTAACAAGCTCCTCCGGGTTTTGCACATTTCCACTTTTCTTCTCACTCCTTTGTGCTTCAAATTCAGAAAGGAAAAGAATCCGCTAGCATGGAAACCATTAAAAATGGAATAGTATCTTAAATGCAGTGGCCTATTTTGAGTGTCATGTGTCTGAGCCTATTCATTCAACTACAGCTCTTCTAAACACTGTGCTATTCAATAGCGAACTTCAAAATGCATGCTTCGTTCCCTCTTTTGGCCTGATCTTTTTGCTGTTTTTCTTTCCTTTTTTTAAAAAAAATCTAAGTAATATTTCTTCTTGATGTAGATAAGCAAATTAAATGTGACCCAATTTGTAAATATAATTATCTTTGTAACTTTTCCAGCTTATCGTGGCAGCCCCTCAAGTTCTCAATGGTACAGATCTGTAATTTATCCTTTTTATATTGATTCTCAGGGAAAAAATTGATTTAGCAAATTTAATACATCTCTTCCAAGCAATGCTATTTGTTCTGGCTACAGCCCTCACCATGTGAATAATGTGAGGCTTTGCATTTAGTCAGCTCTTGAGGTCACTAAAATTTTTCTTACACTTTTATTAAGAATATGATTTACGGAGTTGTATTTGTCTGCTCTGGGGTGCCTGGGTGAGAATTAATGGTTTTCAGGTAGCAATGCAATTTGCTGCCGATCCAGCCTAGGGCCAAAGTTGTTCATTTTTTATTTTCTTCTAACTGTCCCCCTTACTTTTTATCCTCTAAAGGTCTGCAAAAGACAGACTTTCTCAACCATGGGATTCTTGCAATCTCTAGCATGGCTAAATTAATGTCCAGCATACCACTTGAAGGCACGGGACTAGGATCATTAACCACCAATAGTGAGTCTTCAGCAGCATTCTTGCTCACTTCCTCAGCAGACATTCCCACCTTACAGTTGTTGGGATTTTCAGGTCCGTTTGCAACAAGAATAACGTCCGACATAACAACTGAACCATGGACAATGATTGATAGTTCAGGAGATTTAACACTAGTCTCACTCTCACAAGATGAGTATGATATAACCTCATTTATCACAGACTCCTTAATGACGGTTCCAGTTCCCTCTGTGCAAAGTTTGTCAGTAGGGAACCATAAGGCTCTTGCTTTTTCTGCTACAGACGTGAGTTCAGTAATTAGTAGCATACCAGAGACCTTGATTGAATTAAATAGTCACTCATTACTCTCCCCCAGATTCCAGCCTGCCACTCTGGCAATTGCATTTTCAGTTCTCTCCATGTTGCCTCAAGAGGATACTAGAGAGCAATCGGCTGCTTCCCTAATATCGATAGGCAAAGACTGGATTTTACCGAAGCCCTCTGTGATATCTGTTTTCCCTCTGGAAGCAGCCATTTCAGAAAAGGTAGGCGGCTTTAGCTCATCAGTTATGCAGCAATCCAAAAGGCAAACATCCTTTGACCTCAACTGGCAAACTGCAGGTTCTTTAAGCAAATTAAACCAAACATGTGCAACAGGTTCTTCAGCTGACATGAAACTCTCCAATGAATTCTCAGATCAGGTTCTGCATAGCAAAGAGCCTCTTCTTCATGAGGCGTTCTGGATGAATTTGGTGTTATTAACCAGCTGCTCCACATTAATGAGATCTACTGCCGGTACCTCTGGGCATTCATTTGTTTCAGCTTGGGGAACGGCATCATTGGCAAAATTCACAGAAGTATCTTCCTTGCATCCTACTGAACTAAGCAGATATAAATTCACTACAGAAGGGTATTTTCAAACTAGGCCCTTGGAGGAACCAAGCACCGAATTCTCATGTGTTTATTTGGACTGCGTAGCAACTGTTCTTTTACAAACCATCCATTTAGAGCCATCGTTTCCGACCATCTCAGCTTCTCAAATATCAAACATGTATTTGAGTAGGAAATTAACTGACGTGGAACAGCTGGAATACACATCACATGATCCAATTATGGAGATGTCTCAGTCATTGACTCAGGATACATTGTTAGCATTTTATCTGAGCAATGCTCTTCAAGAAGAAAATGGCGCCCATGTTGCATCTCGTTCCAATAAGTCCACATCACATGAACCAAGAAGTTCAGAGAGGATTTTTGATTTGCACCTTGAGCATGCAGGCACTTCAAAAAGAGGCTCAGTTGTTGCTTTTCTTCGTGGGCATTTATCAGCCTTTTCTGATATGGCATCCTCTTCAGTACTAGCTGACCAGCCACTCCCTACACAAACATACTTTGCGAAAATCTCAGCGACACAGTACCTTTCATTTTCTGATGAAAATCAGGCTTTAACTGTAATAGATGGTACTTCACAGCAGTATTTGAAGTGGACTGATAGTACAGATGAAGAACATACGGCAAGTTCAGACAGCCCCTTATCACAGTCACACAGCATGTCAGTAGTAGCTTCAACTGTTACCCCTTACCAGCTGACATTGTCTGGTAAGTTGTTGCTTCTTCCTTTTTTTAACTTCTATTTGGTAGATATATTGTTGCCTGAAGGTTTATGGCTATTTCTTTGAGAGGATGCTTCATATGAAAGTGTGCATAACATATACATACCTGAAAGATCCGGTCATGTTTAAAATATTGGGTATTTTATATGTCACAAGCAGTTGTTATTTTAGAGCTGCCATTTAAACCTCATTCTCATTTGGAGTAGATGAGGTAGAAAACCAGTGTTTGGACTGTACCAATTTATACTTCACGTGAGGGTTCATATGCTCCTACATAATTAGAAAACTATACCTCAGACTGATGAATCAGTGGCAAAATATGCTAGAGCTGGTTGGTAGCTTACTACTAGTGGGAGTGGATTAACCTGAGTTGAGCACAAACTACTCTTATTGTAAACAGTTTTTAAAAGGCTAGAAAAGGGCTCCCTTTGCAGTGATATTTTTTCGAGTATGTTTTGCAAATATATATACTTGACTGCTTAACCTTCTTCGATGTAAAGCAACAACACTTGCAATAAGTTATATATGAACCAGCCGTATTGTGGGGATAGGAAGACAACCTGGTTTCCCCCAGCGATTCCTACCTTATAGTAAATACATGTTTGTAAAATAGATTACTTTCTTTTGGGTTTTGGATTTCCTCCTGTTTCCTCTCCAAGTTTGTTAGTCCACATATGAGCTGGTGTGTGCTAATGCCTCCATTTGGCAAGCCTGTACTCAGAATGGCTTGGTTTGCCATAACTGATAAACTTTAATTTTTCTTTATTCTTCCAACCAGCAGACTTCCTAGACTTTTTCTTTCTATGCACCACTGCGATATATTTACCAAATGCCAACAAAACCAACTTCACTTCCCGTCTGTAGTGCTCATTATGTGTCCATTCCTGATTGGCTGAATCTCATTTTAATGCAATCCCATCCAGTGTTGTTGTTTAGTCGTTTAGTCGTGTCCGACTCTTCGTGACCCCATGGACCAGAGCAAGCCAGGCACTTCTGTCTTCGTTGTCTTTGTCCATGGAGTTTTCTTGGCAGGGATACTGGAGTGGCTTGCCGGTTCCTCCTCCAGGTGGATCACATTTGGTCAAAACTCTCCACTATGACCTGTTCATCTTGGGTGCCCTGCTCGACATAGTTCATAGCTTCTCTGAGTTATTCAAGCCCCTTCGCCACGGCAAGGGGATCCCATCCAGTACATTATCCCTAAATATGTGGGATCTTCCAGGCAACGGTCAGAGTAATAACAATATGGTAAAACAGTGGCTTCCATGGAAAACAATACGCCTTTGTTTCAGACCACATGTAAATTTATTACTCAGTTGGGTGGCCGCCTCACTGGTTCTACGCAGAAAGTGGATATGGTTGTCAGAAATTAAATGAGTTTGTGAAATAAATAATGAAATATTTCTTTATGTCTGCATTTTTAGATGGGAGATTTTCACCTGCACACGGCATTTCTATTTTTATTTTATTTGCAATTTAATTTTCAGTAGATCCAAGTGTGAACCTTTAGATTTTGCTGCAAAGTTTACTCAGATGGTGAAATGAGCAATAAGCAACCTGCTTAGTTCATCATCTAATAGCTGAGCTGGGCACTATATTACATGCGACAGTTTTTAGCAAAAATAGCAATACTGACTCTTGGTGATATTGCCCGCTCCAGATTTTTGGGCTCCCCAGCCCCCAAAGCAAAGCATTTTCAGAGTAACCGCCACCACTGCTGCTGATTTAGCTCAGTCCCTACCAACAACATCCAAAGGGAGCAGGCAAAGTAAATGAGCAGCAACTTCTTCTCCACATCCTCACTGCTATCACTGAGCAAAGGTGAATGTGCAGTAATGGCAATGAGGAGGAGAAAGGCTTTGGCCTCTACCTGCTCTCTCTCTTGTCACCTTCTGGCTCTGTTGCTTCAAGAGGGCCAGTGGATGGCAAAGGAAGGCCAGAGGGCTTTGGCAGTGGACCAATAGCACAAGTGTGGGTCTTGGCCAGTGCCCCACAGGTCAACCCCTAGTGCAGGACC